ATGGACGGCCTTCACGGCGACACCTGACCCCAGATCGCCATCGCCCAGAAGGACATCGAGGGACTACACAAGAGCTTCGCTGGCTATCAACATTCTCCTCACAGGTCTCCTAGAAGGTCATCCCATAGACGAGATCACCAAGACGATCTCCTCGCCGCTCACCACGCCGATCTCCTCGTACATCACCACGCCGATCACCTCGCAGGTCACCACACAAGTCTGCACACAGGTCTACAGTCAGGTCTCCCCAAGCCACCACCCGACATAGAGATAGCAGCACACAGTCCACCATCAGAAGAGCATCAACCTCTCATCACCGATGCTGGGACAGAAGATGATGGAGGCATCATTTTCTCAGACGCTGAGATACGATATTGATGGTAAACAACCTAGATCTCTTCACCGGCCCAAGAGTGGCAACTCGGCGCAGACATACCTGATGAAGGAAGACGATGCAGACGCCGGCCACCCTACCTCCGACGACCCGATTGCCGCGTGCCACAGAATCTAGATACAGCCTTCCATAAAGCCACGAAAAGTTCAGACACCACATCTGCCGAACTTTCACGCCAAGAAGTTCTCAACGCACAACATGGACCCTTCCTCAAGGCACAAGACATCGATGACAACTACAAGCTGATCAGCCATGTCAAGAACAAGAACTACAAGATTGACGATCGCAAGTTGGTGCAGATAGAAACCATGACGAGACGCATGTTTTTGGCCTAAATAGATCTAGAACGATCAATGAGACACTTATCACCAGATTTCGTAATACACCTCTGAAGATGATAGGATGATCTACTCGGCCCTACTGATGCAAAAAAAGAAGGACCAGCAGTTCCTAACAGATCATCTCACATCTGTCTCAGCAGCGCTGACCTTAGCTCGTCGCCAAGGCCTCCTCGCTCCCTGCAGCTGGGGTGAGAACTTTACAGCTCCACTCTATACAGCCCCGGGTCTTCCCCATCCATCTTTGACGGAGGAATAGACAAAGTCTCCAAGGAAGTCACTAAGGATTCCAGAGAAGTCCTTATGATTAAGTCGATGGACACGCTTAGCCAGCGCCATCAGGCAGACTTCACAAAGATACTCAGGGAGATCTAAATTCACTGGACTACAGAGAGCACGGGATAGGAAGATAGCCAGCCCAGGGGAAAAGATTCTTTTCACCCATATGGCAACTATAGAGGAGGGTCAGGAAGAGGCAGGACACCCAGAGGTTCCCGCAACTATAAACGCTGAAAGACAGGTTCGAACGACTGGAGTCTTCCACCCCCAGCCGTTCCAGTACAACCGTCACAAGTGGGTGGACGCCCAACTACACTGGGAGAACTGGGGAATGTTACAAGACCCTTATGTCTCCAACATTCTTCAACACGGATTTCAGATCCCACTACAGGCCACGCCCGCTGACAGTCAACCCTCACAAGTTCGACTTTACAGGCACAACAACTACCAAAGTTAAGAGAGGCTGTTACATCACTCCTAACCAAGCAGGCCATAGAAGTACTAGATCAAGTAAACATCGAACCAGGCTTCTACTCCCCAGTTTTCCTAGTACCCAAGAAAAACTCCAAGGAGAAATACAGACTCATTTACAACATGAGCTTTTTCAACAGGAATTATCTACGCAAACCACCAAAGTTTCGCATGATACATCTTCCTCAGTTACGGCAGTTGATTCGCCCCATGGATTACATGGCCAGTATAGATCTGCAAGACGCATATCTACACATCCCGATACATCCCGAATCCAGGAAATACCTACGATTTACACTAGACGGGCTACATTACCAATGGAAAGTACTCCCATTCGGAATATCATCAGCCCCCTGGCTATTCACGAGGATAACGAAACCTATTGTCACCTATCTACATCGCCTAGGGCTACGAGTGCTCTCTACCTCGACGACGGGATACAAGTAGATCAAGATCCACAGCGTCTCAAACTACAGTTAAACTACATCATAAAGCTACTAACACAGCTAGGATGGTTAGTAAACTTACTCAAGTCGGACCTAGTACCATCGCAAGATCTGCAGTTCCTAGGCATTCGATTTATCACTTAATCTCTCAACCGTATCGTCGTATTCAGAAGACCGCTGGCTCAAGATCCAACAGACCATTCCGCCAGTTTCTACTCTCTCCGCTACCACTCACGACATTGGCAGAGCCTGTTGGGTCTCCTCACATCAGCCCAAGACATGACAGTCAGAGGCAGATTACAGTTACGTCCCGCTACAGGTCTTCATCAATGCACATCTCGACGACCTACAACCATTCAGTCTACCAAAACATCTCAGACCTCATCTACTATGGTGGACCAGGAGGTCGAATGTCTCTGGAAGGTATTTGTTTAGCAGAGCAGGAATTCAAAACCCATCTATATGTAGACGCTGCCGCCCAAGGTTGGGGAGCTCATCTCGCCAACCGGACGGCATCAGGGTTATGGAATCAGCAAGAAAGCAAGCTCCATATAAACATGTTAGAGATGAAAGCTGTAATCAACGCCATACTTCATTGGAGCACCATTCTACAGAATGCGACCTAATGATTCATACCGACAACTCGACAGTGGCGCTTCTATGTGAACAAACAAGGCTCAACGAGATCACTGAACCTATTGACTTTAAGCTTTCAACTGTTCGATCTAATCCACGATCTCAACCTACATGTCAGAGCATGTCACATTCCCGAGCCAAGAATGTACTAGCAGACGACTCTCTCGCCACATCAACCGCCACCGACAGAATGGATGCTCAATACAGAAATCTTTGCACAGATAATCAAGCAAATAGGAGCCGCTAGTAGATCTATTCGCCACACGCTTCAACAATCAGCTACCGACATTCGTGGTCACCAGTCCCAGACCCACAAGCATGGGCAACGGACGCTAAGCATATCCTGGAAGGCCTCACGCGCATCGCGCTTCCGCCGCCAGCAATAATACCTCAAGTGTTACAGAAAATCAGACAAACACAGAGCCTCCAACTCACTTTGTCGCTACTCTACTGGCCAGCCAGAACGTGGTTTCCCATTCTAATTCAAGAAATCGGTCAACCGACACTAGAGCTACCCAAGCCAAATCTATTAGTACATCCACACACCAAACAGGTGCACGGAAGCCCAGAAGTATTCCAACTTCACGTATGGACTGTATTAAAATGTGTTTAAACAAGAGAGGATATTCTACCAGGGCGCAAAAGCGTCACGCTTTGCCTTACGCAATTCTACACGAACTTGTACCTACGACAAGTGGCACAGTTTCAAAATTACGCAGCAAATAAGGGATTTACAGCGAGAGATGCTACTCATCCACAAGTGGCAGATTATTTGTGTTACTTACGCAAAACAAACATTTAAAAGGCTCGACATTGTCAACATATCTTGCCGCTTTAGTTCTGTGGATTACTATGAGAACGGGTGTCAAATTGACTAAGACTCCAGAGTTACTGGCCTTACTACGGCTTTCCGATTGAGGACCAAAAGCGAAGTTCCACTTCCAGCTTGGGATCTGAATATAGTGCTACAACACCTCACAAGTGAGGCTTATGAACCGCTGGAATCGACAACCTTTGAATTTCTCTCACAGAAAACGCTTTTCCTGTTATCTCTAGCCACGCAGCCAGGATGTCAGAAATTCACGCACTAGATTATGAGAGGATACAGTTTGATGACAATCAAAACACAGCACACCTGGGATTAAGATGGGATTTCATCGCCAAAAATCAACTACCAGGTCAACCAGACAGGTTATTCCATATCCCTGCACTATCCTCGATTCTCGATCTCAAGATACACTGGACTTATCTCTATGCCCAGTCAGAGCTCTCAAAATCTATTTACGACGCTCCAAAACAAGGCTAAGATTTCTCAAACGATTATTCATCCCCTTATCGGCAACAACTCAGACAGAAGTCTCTCGCACTCACCATATCTATATGGATAAGAACTGTCATACTTCTCACCTACAAGGCAGCAGGCCTGACCCTCCAACAGCATCAAATCCCCATGAGATCAGGGCATTGGCTTCCACTCTCACTCCTACACGGTAACTGTTCATTGAATACAATTATGGAAGGATGCTTTTGGAAATCTAACATGGTGTTTGCTAATCACTATCTGAGAGATATCACCACCGAGGACGCCTCAGGTATTCACCATTTCGTCCCTTGGTCCTCGCGACAGCAGTTGACAGTCCCTCGTGAACGCTAACACATAGTCTTACGAGATTAATATGCATAATTGATACATGCATTATCTAGCTTATAACTCTACGGAGTTCTAGGGCTATGTATATACTTAGCTTAGGTCTACTCAGCCTTAAGCTTTTACTGATGATTATGTTCAGTTGTATAGCTTCTCTATCAGAGTCGCTTTTATATCTTTATTTGATAATATCATAGTATATTATTATTGTAATACCCCAGTATGGCAATATATAAACCTATGGCTTATAATAGAGGAAATATCCTAAGTCTATGCCTTTATGAAGTTCCCAAGTAGTGGTTATTACAGTTATATCTATATAAATCACTAATTTTATAAATCCAAAGTATTCTGTTTTTCCCACCTCCGCTTCCTCGTGAGGATTCTACAAGTAAGAGAGCATGAGTCAGGATAAGGAAAAATATGTAATTTTTAGAGTAAAATTGATATTTTATACTTATCCTGACTCATGAGGTAAGCCCTCCCATCCTCCCCACATAACACTTTGGATTTCCTGTAAATTCAAGTGTTGGGCTCAAGAAAATCAGGAGAGAGTGAAGCATGAGGCCAGAGGGTGGCGACACCTGTTCCCGCCAAGAAAGGGCAAGGGAGGCAACTCTTGGTGAGTACCAATTAGTGATTTTACATTGAAGGGAGCTTCAATTAAGGAGATACAAGTGTTCCACTATGTTCGCAAGAAGAAGACAAGCAAAAGAGCATGAGTCAGGATAAGTATAAAATATCAATTTTACTCTAAAAATTTTATTGTGAGGTAAGGAATTATGATTATGATTATTTTTTTTTCTATTGTAGCCACAGAACCATCAGACACAAGACATGATAGGACTCGAAGGTTCCAAAATCAACTGGCTTCCTTACCTGTCAACACTGAAGTGGTCACAAGTTTGACATCGTTTTACAATGTAAACAACTTTATTGCTATTCATGCAGTATGTGGAAATCCACATGGGGAAGATTTGACAGGAACAACAGATGATGATGATGATGATAATGATGATGATGACTTTAACAGTGACCCGAATTATGGATTCAGTGACTTAGCTTCCCAGGAACATGGAAGTTATAACAGTGGTCCCTCAAGTGACATCAGATTGAATGACAATCTGGACTTGTCACAACTGGATGCTGGTGATGGAGTGATGGGATGCATGGGTGCAGGGAGGGGATGCACGGGTGCAGAGTTGTGCACTTCTGGGAGATACAACCAAGGTCCAAGCAGCTTGCCTGAGGGTGCGGAGTACTGTATGACCGGTGAAGCAAATGAACAGACAGGATTGAAGACAGCAGCTCCATCACGTTTAGCTGAAGAACATCGGGAGGCACAGCAGGTTAGTTTGTATTTGTGTGGTGTTGTGTTTAATGTCATTGTCAGCAGTATAATGTGTTTGTGTGGTGTTGTGTTTGATGTCATTGTCAGCAGTATAATGTGTTTGTGTGATGTTGTGTTTAATGTCATTGTCAGCAGTATAATGTGTTTGTGTGATGTTGTGTTTAATGCCATTGTCAGCAGTATAATGTGTTTGTGTGATGTTGTGTTTAATGTCATTGTCAGCAGTATAATGTGTTTGTGTGGTGTTGTGTTTAATGTCATTGTCAGCAGTATAATGTGTTTGTGTGATGTTGTGTTTAATGCCATTGTCAGCAGTATAATGTGTTTGTGTGGTGTTGTGTTTAATGTCATTGTCAGCAGTATAATGTGTTTGTGTGGTGTTGTGTTTAATGTCATTGTCAGCAGTATAATGTGTTTGTGTGGTGTTGTGTTTAAGGCCATTGTCAGCAGTATAATGTGTTTGTGTGGTGTTGTGTTTAATGTCATTGTCAGCAGTATAATGTGTTTGTGTGGTGTTGTGTTTAATGTCATTGTCAGCAGTATAATGTGTTTGTGTGGTGTTGTGTTTAATGTCATTGTCAGCAGTATAATGTGTTTGTGTGGTGTTGTGTTTAATGTCATTGTCAGCAGTATAATGTGTTTTGTGTGGTGTTGTGTTTAATGTCATTGTTAGCAGTATAATGTGTTTGTGTGGTGTTGTGTTGTTTAATGTCATTGTCAGCAGTATAATGTGTTTGTGTGGTGTTGTTTAATGTCATTGTTAGCAGTATAATGTGTTTGTGTGGTGTTGTGTTTAATGTCATTGTCAGCAGTATAATGTGTTTGTGTGGTGTTGTGTTTAATGTAATTGTCAGCAGTATAATGTGTTTGTGTGGTGTTGTGTTTAATGTCATTGTCAGCAGTGTTGTGTTTAATGTCATTGTCAGCAGTATAATGTGTTTGTGTGGTGTTGTGTTTAATGTCATTGTTAGCAGTATAATGTGTTTGTGTGGTGTTGTGTTTAATGTCATTGTTAGCAGTATAATGTGTTTGTGTGGTGTTGTGTTTAATGTAATTGACAGCAGTATAATGTGTTTGTGTGGTGTTGTGTTGTTTAATGTCTTTGTCAGCAGTATAATGTGTTTGTGTGGTGTTGTGTTAAATGCCATTGACAGCAGTATAATGTATTTGTGAGGTGGTGTGTTAAATGTCATTGTCAGCAGTATAATGTGTTTGTGTGATGTTGTGTTTAATGTCATTGTTAGCAGTATAATGTGTTTGTGTGGTGTTGTGTTTAATGTCATTGACAGCAGTATAATGTGTTTGTGTGGTGTTGTGTTGTTTAATGTCTTTGTCAGCAATATAATGTGTTTGTGTGGTGTTGTGTTAAATGCCATTGACAGCAGTATAATGTATTTGTGAGGTGGTGTGTTAAATGTCATTGACAGCAGTATAATGTGTTTGTGTGATGTTGTATTTAATGTCATTGACAGCAGTATAATGTGTTTGTGTGGTGTGGTGTTGTTTTATGTCATTGTCAGTAGTATAATGTGTTTGTGTGGTGTTGTGTTGTTTAATGTCATTGACAGCAGTATAATGTGTTTGTGTGGTGTTTTGTTGTTTAATGTCTTTGTCAGCAGTATAATGTGTTTGTGTGGTGTTGTGTTAAATGCCATTGACAGCAGTATAATGTATTTGTGAGGTGGTGTGTTAAATGTCATTGACAGCAGTATAATGTATTTGTGAGGTGGTGTGTTAAATGTCATTGACAGCAGTATAATGTGTTTGTGTGATGTTGTGTTTAATGTCATTGTTAGCAGTATAATGTGTTTGTGTGGTGTTGTGTTTAATGTCATTGACAGCAGTATAATGTGTTTGTGTGGTGTTGTGTTTAATGTCATTGTCAGCAGTATAATGTGTTTGTGTGGTGTTGTGTTTAATGTCATTGACAGCAGTATAATGTGTTTGTGTGGTGTTGTGTTTAATGTCATTGACAGCAGTATAATGTGTTTGTGTGATGTTGTGTTGTTTAATGTCATAGTCAGCAGTATTTGAGCTAATTTACTGCAGCTTTCTAAATATATCAAGCCTAGCAGAAACACTGCTGACTGAACAAATGCCTAACATGACTTAACTTGGTGGCATAAAATGACATGCGGTCGACAAAGCCACAAAGGCTGACCTCTCAATCAACTTCAGTGGGCTGTATTACCAACATCCTCCAACATGTAGAAACAATCAAAATGTTGTGTGGATATTTATAATGAACATGCTCTTTCGTCTTAATTTACAAATCTTTTCTTCACAAGATATCCTTCTTGATGAAAAGCAGATATAAGGGACTGTTCATAATTTATGGCAAGGGGGGGGAGGGATGATGATTTTTACGGAGAAGAATGTACAATGTGGATGACCCCCCTAAAATGTATGTACAATATAAGTAACATCCCCCTCTTAAAATCATCACCACCAACCCCCACCCCCACCATAAATTATAAACAGTCCCTAATTAGCTTGATTGTATTACAGCATCCTGCCTCAAACTGTGGCGAGTACTTTCCTCTTCAAACCAACTCGTCCGGCTACATAACAGAAGCAATCAGCGCTGCCAATCTAAGAGGTGAGGGCTCAGTGAGAGGTGAAAGAGTGAGTGAGTGAGTTGGCAATATCACGGCGGGAGGCACCAGAAATGGGCTTTTCACATCGTACCTATGTGGGGAGTAGAACAACAACCTAAAGATTTAGAAATATGAGCATGTTTTGAGAGTATTTATTGTGTAGTGGTGAAATGCATTCAAGAAAAACACACTTTGAGTCAATCAATCACAAATATTTTATAAGTAACAAAGTCAATGGTATTTTTATAATTAGGGCTCCTTGCCTCTAGGCAGGAGACCTATTGTAATCGTTCGGATTATTATTATTTTTATTATTCCACCGATCTTTTTACCAAACATAACTCCTAAACCAATGCTCCGAATCGCTTACCAAAAATCACACAGATGCGCACCGAGGTGTAGATATTCCCCTTAAAAATCTCTAGGCTCTTGGCCCAATAGCAAAAGGGAGATAATTCTTGACAGCAAATATCTCAAGAACTAATTGTTCCAACACTTCCAAAATTCTTGTACAGATGCACAATCAAATTCCCAACAATTTTGCCTTGACGGGTCAAGTCGCTAAAACGTACCGTTTGGCAGTTATTTTTGTTTTCAGTTTTTGGCCATGTTTTTTCAACAGTTTTCTGAGTAGTTTGCTCCCAAAATGTGCAAATTCGGCACAAATGGTAGATGGTGTCTCGGTGATTCCAGAACACTAATTGTTTTGACCATAGACCCAAGAACAACTGAGATACAGCCTTTTAAAGAGGGAACTATTTCTTCTCCGGAACTCCTTAAAAGGTACATGACCCGCGCGACCCCGGCTGTATTTGGGAGATCCGCTCGCCTATCAAAACACGTGTTCTGGCTCCGTTTTGGACGATGATATCTAGCCCTCAGGTACAATAGATAGAAAGTAAAGCCAAGGAGACCTCATTGTTGCCTGCAACTATATTTGTCTTTGTTTCAGATCAACAGAATAGGTTTCGTCCAATACTGGAGGCCTTTCTTGAAGCATTGCAAACTAACCGAAAAAATAACCAGCAGACAACAGGGCAACAGGTGGAAGACGAAGATGAGATTCCATCAACTGTGGCTACTGCGATCAGTCTCCAGCCCCACCCTGTAGTCATACCCCAGCATCTGCACTGGCTGTAGTAGTAGCAGCAGCGGGGAGCAACAGGGATGAAGAAGACGATGAAGTAGCTGGGAGTGATGAAGAGTTGGGACAAGATAGTACAGATAATTAAATGTATGTTGTTAAATATTGAAAACTGAGAGTCATATTGAACATGGTATAACAAAAAAATTCAAATGGTAATGAGTGAGTAAGTAAGTGATCGAGTGAGCGGTTTAGTTTTTTGCCACTTTTAGCAATATTCCAGCAATATCACTGCAAGGGGACACCAGATGTTAATGAATTGTGGTCTGTTTACCTGTATGACAACAATGTAAAGGTATGTTAAACCAGTTTCATTGTATTTTGCCCTGATAGCATAAGACTTCTATACAGGTATAGCTCAATTTTAGTCAGGATTACGAAGTTATTTATTCTGTGAGCATCATGCTTGTATTAAGTAATCAGTTTGTGTATCATCTAATAACCGGGATATCTGTCTTAAGTCAACCAGCATAGTTACAGCAAGCAATTATATCTAAATTCTATCATAGTAGGAAATAATTGTATTTCATGATTTTGTTGGTTTAGTAGATTAGGAGTTCCATGTTGTTAAAGACAACCGAAGAGGACTAAATAAAGTCCAATCAGTAGGACTGCACGGTAACCATTATGGCAACATACCTGTGACTTTCAAATGATATGTCTTGCAATATGTTTTCTGAGAACCAATATTTTGGGTAAAAATACATATGAAGTTATTATCTCTAAAGTTTAAATTACAATCTACACAGACTTTCGTTCACAAAGGATGCTTTCCTTTGTAATTCGTTGACAATATGACATACCTTAATGCTATAAATTGTATAAAAATGAAAATAGAATCCTTAACGATCCAACTGATCAGAACATGTTATTATAGCATCTGCATGTACAATCACTGTCGCTCACTGTCAAACACTTCAGCTCCCAATATATCGCGATACATATCGCAATGCTGGGTACCTGAATTGCAATAGATCACAATATTTACTAATCATGCAGGGTACCTGAATTGCAATAGATCGCAATACAATTTATCTTACCTTATATATAAATGTTGTTTTCTGATTGGCTGAGCCAATCAATGTACCCCGCTTACAAGCAAGTAACATTTTCTATGTTACCCGTCCGGAATGCCTAACTGTGGGAATTCATTTGGTACTTGGTGTTTAAGTAGTGTTTTGGCTGTAGTTGGTATTGGCTAATTGCCTAACTCTGGTACTCCTCATTATGATCCGATACCCGTGCCTCAAACAGTTCAAATTAACATTGAGGTGCTCGGTAAGATAAATAAATAACAATAAATAAATAAATAAATTGTTCACTGGTCCCTTGGGGCCCATGGCTTGATGTACCCTATATACTGACTTATGTTGATAAACCCATGTCCCCCTTGTGACCAGTGAACAACTTATAATGTATGCCATTCCACAACACAGTCGGTACCAAGTTGGCCACTTCCACTTACCGATGATAACTATGTGTCATTCCTATCTCACTTTTGAGTGCATCAATTAACACAGCATTCCATGGGCAACATATCTGTGTAATCATTGTTGTGTTTTCACATGACAAATATGTGTTATCTCAAAGCATCATTTTGCTGCAGTCATGACTGAAAATCAAGCTATAAAAATTAAGAATTTGACCAGTTCTACATGGTTATTGTCTGTTTGCTAAACATTCACAAATCAATGATGAGTTGAAAACATTCCAATTTCTCACCAACAGGTTATCAAACATGCACCAGCTTCCAAACTGTTTTTCTCAGTATTCCTAAAAAGACCTGTTAGAATTTGCAAACATGTGTTAGCAAACTTATGCTAGCTGTGTGGGCTGCCTGTTGAGCTATTAGTGCTTTTGTTGTTGAATAGTTTTACAAAGGAGCAATGATTGTCTGGTCATGAGCTGCACATGCAGTTATGTCTGACATCATAACTACCCTTGCATCATCAGTGACCTGGTAATGCTCTGAATACTCTTGGAGTTTAGATAGAAGTTTTAAGAAATAAGGTTACTATCTGTTAGGCCTGTTTTCATGTTGTTACTTATACTGTCATAATAAGTTTCATGTTGAGGGAAATGAATGTGAACAATAGTAACACATAAGTCTGCAGTAGACTTGACATTCATAAATGAATAATACATGTTAAGAACAAGTAAACATGGCTTAGATGGACATATCAAACTGGACTAAACATGTAACTGTAATATAAAGAATTGCATTGCAAAACAACATTAATTTTGTTGGGGAAAGGGGTTGCACAACTTCTTCACCTCTTGATGCACACATGGGAATCAGTTTGTTTTCTGAGCCATTTTGCTTTAAGCTTTTGCATACATGCATGTGTATTTTTTTCATTGTGTTGTGGATTACATGCATAACAACACGTAACCTGCTATATATCCATAACTGCAGGTAAGTGTTTTGCGTGTTGAGGTATTTGCTCTGTCGATGATCAGTTCATCATGTTCACCATCAACAGTCCCTGTATTGTTGGACTGATGATGTTCATGGTTTCAGTACAATGGTCATCAGATCATAGAATATAAATGAAGTAATATTTATTAATCTAATTATTCATGTTTCTATGAACATGGAACCATGTTAATGCATGCAATTTTGTATGATTCTGAACTCGAAGCTGTCCATGATGCTGCCAATGCTAATGTCAGAGGAAGCAAAATATTTGTTCACAGACAGTTCTGACTTTGTGACATGTTTTGTCAAATCTAAATCTTTTTCAGTCAGGCCATCCATACCTTTTTATATGTTTCTCATCTCCAATCTCAACCAACAAGAGACAGACAGCTAGCCAAAAAATATATTTTAAAAAGTTTAAAAGTTGCCTTACTTATTGTGTAGTTTGTGAAATTTTTGAAAAATTGTATTGTTTGGTAATTTTATTTAAAGGTCACATGGAACGTAAAACACGACTTTGCAGATTCTGATACCTTTCGGTATGGACTTACCGAAACAAATCATCAAAAATGCAAATTCAAATAATGCGATGAAAAAAAACGGGCAAAATCGTAGTTCGAACGATTCACTAATTTTCCCCCAGCGTTTGGGGGGAATTCAAGTGGTTTCAACAGCTGGGCTGCGCTCATAGCACGTGTGCAGTGAAATAGGTTCGCGCAACTTGGAAGCGGGTTGTCCGGTGAATACTCGTTGAAGGCTTTGGTGTGAGCTATTTTTCTAATGTTTTGTTGATATCTCACAGGTGCAAGCTTTTTATATGTTATGACAGTAAATTAACTGTTTATATAATTTCATTTGTCTATTTCACCACATGTTCTTCTTACCGAGTCACTTTCTCAGTTCGATACTTAAAAGCAATGTCATTATGTAGCGTTGACAGAATTTCTAACTGTGATATAGATATGTTGTTGTCACAGACAAAACTCAATGTCTTGTTTTATTGACACCTTTGTGTCTGCCTGCCTGTCTGCTAATGACAATATTCAATACACAACTGCGATCACTGACCACATGCAATTTGAAGTTAACATCAGGCTATACACCATAAATAAAATGCATTGATTTATGGCCTGAGTTCGGTCTCTGTCACATTATGTAATTACATAGACAGGTAGGTGTGATACTTGAACACATGACATGTTATGATGTCTGTTGATTGCAAAATGTTATTCACAAAAAATAAGCATGTTTTTACAAAACCCAACATCTCTATATATACACACACAATGAGCCGTGAGGGCATCTGCAAATGAACCAGCCGTTACACTTGAGTGCACACCTACCTGCTCTGACTGGTTTCGGTATCCCGGCTGCTTCGTTTCTTGGGAAGTAAACCCAAGTACAAAATATTGCACTTTTGATTTGCGATTGTACGCTTATAATTTTGTTTATATGTTTTTTCATAACCAGCAATGTATATTATATGTCATGAATAAGTGATAATTGTGTTTTAATTATGTTTGATATTTTGGTTGCATGTGACCTTTAAATATATATTTGAGTGTGCATGGGTAAGATTATTTTCTTTTGTTGCATTGGGGCATAAATTCCCACAGCAGCAGGGAAAACTACGACAAAAAACATTTGATTATTTCTTGACAGAATGAAAATTCAGGGTAGATAAGAGATGAGACAAAAATAAAAGATGGACAGCCTGAGCTTAAACAACAACTTACCTGTTTTGTGGACTGTTAGCACCTGAATTAGTTTGAGTTGTCACAAATAGATTACTTTCAGAGCATGGATGATATTCCTTCCTATTACCAGCATGGGATAATTTCCACACAATATTACATAAGTGAAATGAAAAGGTATACACTATTGTTGTATTATATTGATATATGCTTGTTATTTGATTCTATGTAGTATTGTACATATTCAGCACGCTCAATGCAATTACTGACTAGATTGTGAAATCCACATTGACTGTGTAAAGCATCAACTGATAACCTGTTGTAGATTGTGAAATCCACATTGACTGTAAATCATCAGCTGATAACCTGTTGTAGATTGTGAAATTCACATTGACTGTAAATCATCAGCTGATAACCTGTTGTAGATTGTGAAATTCACACTGACTGTAAATCATCAGCTGATAACCTGTTGTAGATTGTGAAATTCACATTGACTGTAAATCAGCTGATAACCTGTTGTAGATTGTGAAATCCACGTTCACTGTAAATCAATAACTGATAACCTGTTGTAGATTGTGAAATCCACATTGATTGTGTAAATCAATAACTGATAGCCTGTTGTAGATTGTGAAATTCACATTCACTGTAAATCATCAAACTGATAACCTGGCTAGCTATTCTCGAAACGTTCATGGCCCTACAAACTTCTTAAGCCCATTCTTAACACATTGGCTACTATCGAAGTTAAGAATTCTTAAGGCTACAATCGTTTCGAGAATAAGGGCCCTGTTGTAGATTGTGAAAATCACCTTGACTGTAAATCATCAGCTGATGACCTGTTGGATATTGTGAAATTGACATCGACTGTAAAGAACGTTTTAAAACAGTACTGTTTGGAAAAAGATATCTTTTGAATTTACTAACACTGTTCAATAATCATACTTTCTAAAACACTGTTTAAAATATTTGTCTTAAGAATGTTACGTTTTAAAACAGTGTTGAAAATATTTGTCTTAAGAATGTTACGTTTTAAAACACTGTTGAAAATATTTGTCTTAAGAATGTTACGTTTTAAAACACTGTTTGGAAATATTTGTCTTAAGAATGTTACGTTTTAAACACTGTTTGGAAATATTTGTCTTAAGAATCTTACTTTTTAAACACTGTTGAATAATCGTACTTTTAAAACCCTGTTGGAAATATTTGTAGTACTGTTATCAGTGTATGAAATAAGCCAAAACTCCAGCCAGACATCAGGGCCAGTAACTTCAAAATGTTACCAGCCCCAAATGGATTTAAGCGATGACCCACAAAATCCACCTGGACAAAATCCACCCGGGCAAAATCCACCCCAAAATTGCCACCCCGGACAAAATCCACCTCTTCTTAACCAAAAAATGGACAAAATCCACCCTTCTCAAATTGCTATTGTTAAAAGTTTTAGTGTGTCCTGATGTTTGATCAAGTTGTTTTGCTCAAGCATTTCAAGCATTGTTTTGATAGCATTTTCGTTTTCCTAATTGGCTGTTGTTCCTAGATGTTGTTTCAAACATTAAAGGTTTCTCCATTTGTCACATTTTGATCATTACTTAATCCTCTTTCATGTATCATTAAGTAGTCTCACACTTTGATCATTACGTAATCCCCTTAAGGAATTAAGATGTTTTTGCAAGCCTGATTGGAGCCCTTTATACTCATGTTTTGATAGAACATACTTTTTAATGAGTTTGAACACAACTGGGGGTGATGGGTTAGCCTAGTGGTTAACGCGTTCGCTCGTCACGCCGAAAACCGGGTTTAATTCCCCACATGAGTACAATGTGTGAAGCCCATTTCTGGTTTCCCTTGCCGTGATATTGCTTGAATATTGCTAAAAGCGGCGT